AGTGATTACGACTAAGACACAAAGTGTAATGTTTCGTGGTACAAAAATCTCTCGTTTGTACACGTCTTTGCGATTACAATGCGTCATAAAATCGCTCTTAAATGTCGGTCTGCTGGTTTTATGGTAATCGCATAACGAAATTCGTGTACGACACCACGTGTATCATTGTATCGTGCTGTCAAATATTAAATATGGTACATCTTATTTATTATAATGTGAGATGCGCCCACTAAAATTAGATATTACGTCTATAGATTTTAAAACAGTAAAAGTATAAAGCCTTTTCAGATTGTGACTTGAATTTGACTGTTGGCACATTATACACAATGTGGCAATGACATTATAACTCGTTTACTTCAGTTTACTAAAAAAAAACTGAGCTAATTATTATGCATTTAACTTCAAATCGAAAAGCATTAGAGATGGTTAAATCAGTAGCTACTGCGTTAACTAATATTTGTAAACTAATATTTGCAGTACGGGAATTTCCGTTATGAGTACCAACAACATGACTGCATGGATGGCGTATTGGTTTAAGCTGTCGCCACGCCGCTTACTACTACGCTGTGTTGGGGGTCCGATCCCCACATGGGACGATACGATACGATACGTGTTCTGGATATATTCCTAAAGCGGGAGTTATCTTTTTAAACAAAAAAAACATACTCAGAAGAGCACATATTAAGAAATAGACTATAACAAAACAGTTTTTCTCCTGTTTAACTATCGATTATCTTAGGAGCTATGGACATGCTCTAGTGTTCTTGATGAAAAATAGCTACCGCCAGTATCATTATATAAATAGTGATCGTCTAGAAGTCTAAATTCAACCATAATTCATCCAAGGAGAAAAAATGTCTGAAACATGAAGGAAATTACTTTAGCAAAACTTTTTATTAAATAAGTTTGTAACAGACGAGTCGAAGTCGGAGGCGGAGGCTAGACGCGCGTTATCTTTGCCTACAATATCTAGGTACCTAGATATAGGTTTAGTATGCTGTCAAAGCAATTTCAAGGTTATTAATCGCTCGATGGAGTCTGCATTGCACTGCTCTGCGTTCTCTATCGCATATATCATGGAGAGTGCTCCGAGGAATTGTTCGGACTAATACCGGCGGTAACTTTCCGCCATCGTTCCACACGGCCAAATTTTCATCCTCGTTACCTGGATGATTGGATTGTCTATGTAATATTAAAATAACCGCTTTTTACTAAATGCATATCTATGTTTACACGGTACATATGCCAAAATAAAGTTTTTTACAATTTAGGTCTGTCTGTCTGTTTGTTCCGGGTAATCTCTGGAACGGCTGGACCGATTTCGACGGGACTTTCACTGGCAGATAGCATAAGGAGTAACTTAGGCTACTCTTTTTAGACTAGCTTCGCCAGGCGTCGTTGCCCGCGGTTATAACAACAAACGCGGGTAACACCGCGGGTCTCAGCTGGTAAATAAATAAATAATGCAAGACATCAGCTAGTCAATAACAGCAGCTGATCTAGCTAGTCAAAAACAGATTGTCAACAACACACGCAACCAATTCCAATCTAAATGCCAATCCACACTAATTAATTTTCTTTGTGATGTGATAATTTCTAATTAGAGCAAGAGAATCGTAAAGGAAAATGTTAACGTAATTATTTTTTAATTAATATACGAGTATGATAACAAATGGTATTGTTTAACAAATTAAATGTTACAATTTTACGTAGCGTGGGGTTACGTACACTTGTAAATATATGTTGTAAAATTAATTTGCCCTGTAGACTTTCGGAGGTGATTAGGGAGGTGAAAAGGTTAAGGGGTATTCTATTTTTTTTAAGATTTATGCCAAGATATTTTGGTGTTACCCGAATAGTTTCAGACCGCACGCCGCAGCGCACGGAGGACTTTTATCTAGGGGTTTTAGGGAGTTTTATTAAATATGTTATTGATTTCTATTAATATTATAAATGCCAAAGTAACTCTGTGTATCTGTTACGCTTTTACGGCTAACCCGCTTGACCGATTTGAATGATAGCAGGGAGATACTTTGATTCTTGAGGTAGGACATAGACCTCTTTTAACGTGGTTACCGACATACACATCAACAGCCTATACTAGTCCACTGCTGGACATAGGCCTCTCCTTAGAAAGGAGGTTTTGGCCTACTATACCACGCTGGCCAGACGGGTTGGTATAGGGTTTGTTTCAAGTTTTCCTTCTCTTTGCAGTGCTGTTGTCCTGCTTAGTTTGCTCCCTTAGTCGGCTCTTACGACACCCACGGGATGAATTGGGGTGGTGACAATTTGTATTCTTAATCCGCCACTACACGGACACGACATACACATAAATATAAAAAAAAAACTTAGTTTTCCGGTTTTGTGATATATTTTGTAATTTGAAAAACAATTTTAATTAGTTTTTAATGGAGGTATAGCTACCGCCTACAATTTAGTTTCTGACTGTGGTATTCCTACTGTACAAATTAAAACATTTTCTTTTCATTGTCATGAGCACATAAAATAACAACTTTAAGTGTCTACTAACTCCAGGATTTCGTTTCTAGGTATAACCTGGTTTCCCAGCTACTGGTACCCAAGATAGCGTCAGGTTTATAGTCAGTTCGAGTCCGACATAACCAACTCACCGGTCGTCCGGGGTAACGTATCCCAAGAGATTTCCAAGAGTACTTGACGAGATAATATTCAGGAGAATAAGAGCTAAAGGGGAACAATAGGCCCCACATATGTATAAACTAATTCCTAATTTGATCAACTTTATTCTATTAAAATAAAGCTGAAAATCGTACGTCGCAGTAATAATATACTACTTGTAAGCAATTCTCAACTCTATTGTAAAGTCATAAAGCTTTTTTTCACATTTTAAAGGTTCTCATGTATTTTGCCGCTCAATCTGGGGTGACCCTAATACGAAGAGTACTATTCTACTGGAGTGAAGGTCGCAGAACAAATCTGCTGTATTGAGTGTTTAAAGGCAACGCAATTATTAAAAAACAATGGTCGTATGGTTTATTATGGGTTTTCAGTAGATTAAATATATTTCTATAAGCTCCTTAATTATTATAAATTAAACTTATTATTTTAATTATTGTTATTTGGCTTTACGCGTGGTAATCTTTATACATGTGTATATTTTGATACTAAAGCAAACTAGCTTAACCCATCATCCAGTGTTGCCAATTTAGGAGGTCGTTTTACACCCATCCAAGTTAATATTTTCTTGCCTCAGAATTAGGAGAAAAATACAATATGATAGCAACTTTGCCATTTCAATAATTTAATTCTAGCAAGTACTTAGTGGCACGTAATATTCTCCACACAAAGCGTAACTGCTGCTACCAAAACACATTAAAAAAAGCAAATTAGAAGTACGTACTGTTTCATGAGGATAGTCCGGGGGCATACGTTGATTATTTTGTTGTTGTGAAAGATGGCTCTCAGCCCCTCTTTCCATGCCTTCGACAGAAAAAGCAAATGAAAAACAAAACATGCAAAGACGTGCACAATGCCTTGTTAACTGCCTCTAGTTCTCAATTAATATCAAAATACAAAATATATTCTTCAAAACGTTATTTAACGGATGTTCCATGAGGGGTGGGTATGTTGACGACACTCCGCTTGAAACCTAGAAAGAAGATTCTGGTAATGGTCTTCTGTAACGTAACCGTGGTGGATCTTGGTTTCTTCATATTGAAAGAGGCAAGGAGTGAACACCATAGGGCTAAGACTTAGATAGTACGAATTAACTTTCTGGCGACTAGTACTTGTGCATCAGAAATGACTTTATTGAAACAGGAGTGTCAGAGATCTTGGACATAATCTATAAGCACAGGTTCTATAACAGAGGACACCGATTACTATCGCAAAGACAGTGTCGCCTTGTTTAGCTCTTCAGGGCCTCAATTCTGCTATTTTAATATTGTATCAATAGACTGTCCAGCAGTGGACTATTATAGGCTGTTGATGATGATGATGCTGTCGATGGAATGTCGTCGGAATAGTTTTGCACTTTTCTTATTCTACTAGCTATGTAAGACCAATGGCCTCCCGATGACTTGTCACTGATACAAATGTCGTAGATGTCTTTGTAATAGTTTGGTAAACCGTACATTTTGAATTTGTAAGAAAACAATATATTTAATTTTCCAGATATGGCAATGTTGTTGATATCACCATTGATTTATTATATACCTATATTACTATATCGATAGTCTATTGACACTGTGAATTTATGTTAGTAGAATACCGATATTTTGACCGATGTCAGTGGCATGTCAATAGCGTGTCAATGGAATGACAGCGACTTGGCGGTAACATAAAATAGCAGAATTGTGGCACAGTTCGCGCTAAAGAGTGTACGACGAGAATAAATCAGAATCTCTTATTAAAGAATATTTTTATTCTATAAATTTTAAAAACAGTTTCCTGTTTCCGCTACAAACGTTTAGATAGTTAAAAGTATTTAAAATAATCGGTATTAGTTATATTTAGCCGTAAAAGGCTAAATGGGTATAGAAAAACACTGCACAGGCAATAATAAACTTCGTTGGAGCTATAAACATTACGACCACGGGACAAAATTGTATTACATAAGTTATTTAATTATCTGTAAGAACTTGGAGTTCACAAGGCATTAACATCAACATGTAAATAACAAAAATGGAATGGAGAAAGCTGGTTTTAGATCAAACTAGTTTTTATTAACATTACAGTCTCTTGTCTGTCTCGATTTGAGCAAAACCTTATAAATGCCACGACATCGTCTCGGCAAGCTTTAAAACCTTTACTCTCGACTCTATTTGTGTCTGCATCAGATGAACAATGAAGCAAACATGAAATTTAAATTTTCAGATACATTTATTTAATGAGACTGATCAAAAAGGAAATATTTTGCTCAATCAAGGCAGTTTTAGACATAACAGATAACACAACACTTAAGTAAATTGCCATGGAACCGTCTATGGAAGCCATGCCTCAAAAATTGTTTCTGGACTTACTGCTTCTTAAGACAAGTCATTGGACAAACGTTGTTCGCTTTCACATTGTGGGTGATCCGCCTTAGTTCTTGCAACCATACCTTTGTAGAAACACACGCATTAATTTGCCACAATATCTTTTTTAATTTGAATTTTTGTTTTTCTGCCTTGCGGAAAGCGCAGATTTGACAGATGAACATTGAACACTCTTTCAAATATATGAGTTTTGTTCACATTTGTGTGAAAGCGGGCGCTTATTAGCTAGTGACAAATTACTTAATATTTAAAAAATAAAAGTGGTTGCCAATAAAGAAAGATTTGATTTCAAAATATTGTTCACTATGGTATTGAAAACTTTTTATTCAGATGTAAAGAAATAAAAATGGAAGTCATGGAAACATTACAAAACTTTTTTAAATTTAATGATAATATCTGCTCTCGCATACAACCAGGAGGTTTATGCGAAGTTTCTGGAGCAAATCCAACAAAAGCGTCATTGTCCCTATTTATCACTTTCTTCATTCGTCTTTTATCACTCTTTATACCCATTTGTCTATCTTTAACAAGAATCAACTGGTTTTAACCAGAAACTAATAACAATAACCAGATAAATCCAGTAGCTGACCTTAGCAGTGGCGGCGTCAGGACACACCACGTGTTGATAGTTGATGTTAATGTAATCCGTTCCACTACAGATGGTGAGCGACTTCTCCTCTAAGTTTTCGCCATGTTTGTTCACCAGGTTCATGCTAAGCTTGGAGTCCTGTCAAAGATAGAAATTATATTATTTTCAAATGACATGTTACAAGATGGAAGGGTTAGGGATGGGATTTCTAAGTGATGTGTGATGTGAAGTATCTCCAGGCTATTAACTGCCAGAATAAAGCAGATTTTTTTTTTAAAGACGACTCCCGCAGTAGGAATACATTCCTGTGTCGCGGGGGACTTTACAAACATATATGAAACGGACACAAAGAACACCCAGACTCAGAACAACAATTTGTGGATCACACAAAGTGTTGTTCCATGTGGGGTTTGAACCCACAACACTCGGCGCAGTAGGAAGCAGCGTGGCGACCGCTTAAACCACTACGCCATCCGTGCAGTCATACTTCACTTCACTTTTACTTTCCACATCTCATACACGGCAGTCTGTGCCCAAACTAGGCCAGTCCTGTACCATGGTAACCAGACTGCTGGTAAACATACTTAATATTTATAAATACATGTATATAAATGTAATTTAATTTATATAAATGTAAATTACACCCAGACACGGGTCAAATGATAATGACACAATTATCTATTTTGGTGGGACTCGAACCCACGACCTCCAGAATCGCAGCCAGGGTCACTAACCACTAGATCAACAGGTCCGTCAGTTACTAGAGCAATATTTCTGCTTTCAGCTGGTAGGGAGAGCGGTCAGTAAAGCAGGAAACATGTCTGTATTCTCAAAGTGAAGACAGGGCCGTAGTAAACGACAACATTTTACCAACTATAATAAGGAACCGCTTACATAATAAGCGGATACCTCAATTTTACTTCTTTACAGGACGTAACCCCCCCCCTCCAAATAAACAAGAACTTTCAGAATAAGTTCATAATTATTATAGGTGTTCTGAGGTAACGTTCATTGAAAATACAACCGAATAAAAAACCTCTGTATTTTTTAAAGTCAGTTAAATCTTAACGACAAGTTATAGAAAAAAAAAACAGTCACTACGCAAACATTTCATTAAATATTGCTATCCTAAAATAACTTTATTTGCGGAGTATTTATGAATGTAGCTGGTACCGTAACCTTAGCAGAGGAGGGTACAGCGCCCCTCATTAATATTCGCTGATAAAACAAAGGCCATTATTTTAATAACGAACTAGGATGATATAAGGGCAAGAAAAAAGGTATACCCTTCTACATTACTCGTAAGTAAATTCTGTCTTATACGAGGCCATGGGCCTATTTAATTTATATTTGCAGAATGAAATGACTACTTTATTATTATAGAGGCTGAATAAATACATACTTTAGAGTCTGAAAGGCAATCGGCTGAAGTAGGCTTTATTTTATGTTAGAGGGGGCAGACGAGCAGACACTTGATGGAAAGTGACTACCGCCGCCCATGAACGTCTACAACTTAGGAGTCACAAACGCGTTGCCGGCCTTTTAGGAAGGAGTAGGCATATAGGAAATAATATTTTTGACACCTTACACCCAACGCCATCTAGTTTCAAACTAAGTAGAGCTTGTACTATGACAGCTAGATTTACTGATGAATACTTATATCCTTTTTTTCGTAATTACATACATATAAAAAAAAACAACTCGGAAACAAATATTTGCAGATTATACAAACATTTGGTCCAACCTGGGCATCGATCTCGAGACCTTACCACAGCAGTCGCATATGCTACCACTGCGGTACCGAGGCAGTCAATATCTATAGAACAAGTATAATTTTTAACAAAAAAAAACCGACTTCAAACAGAGAACTAAAAAGCTGCCATCATCAAACCCTGATTTTCTGAACATGGGACCACCTTTGAAGTATCTTCTTTCCAACAAAAAAAAAGAATGATCAAAATCGGTTCATAAACAACGAAGTTATCCGCGAACAAACATAAAAAAAGCATATATACGGTCGAATTGAGTAACTTCCTCCTTTTTTGAAGTCGGTTAAAAAAAACATTGTTTAAGTTAATGTATGACAAGCTCGTTACTGCAAAGATAACTTACTATGATTATTTTCCTTTTAACAACTACTTGAAAATATAACTGTGCTAGGGTTTGTAAAATTATTTTAAAACTAGCCGTTACAAAAACATATCCCTTATCTGCTTCATTTTAGAGGCACAGTACAGGCTCTGCCCAGTTTGGGACCAGTTATTATTAGCTGATAGAATTTCGGTGTCATTTCCGGACTGTGTCAAGTAAATGCCACGGTTTTTTGGTAGAAGTTAAGGCTGTAGGGTTTTAGGGATTCTTGTTCATATATTTGTCTTCTTTACGATTCTGCAAGTGTTCAGTATAGCAGCTTATTGAATAAGCATGTAGGTATTGGGTTTGAGATCAAGGGCCTTCAAACTGTGATGTATGTGTTTCAGAAAAACACCAGACGTTGAATGCTATAGGAAACATACATAATGTTTTTTTGTTTCCAGAGTCTTAAAACTTGAGTCCTTAAGGTCTGCGTACTATTTGTGTACTTTTATTATCATTCTATTGATTACAAATTACCGTAATTTATCCGTGTAGTGACGGATTAAGAATATGAAATGTCACCACCCCTATTCATCCCGTAGGCGTATCCCTAAACAGGACAACAGCACTGCAAAAAGAAGAAGCACTTGAAACAACCCCATACCAACCCGTCTGGGCAGCGTGGTATAGTAGGTTAAAACCTCCTTTCTAAGGTGAGGCCTATGTCCAGCAGTGAACTGTTATAGGTTGTCGATGATTGATGATGAATGATTACAAATTAGTTTCCACAATTTTTATACGTAGTGCGTATTCGTAGACATTATGATATCATCTTGATGTTTCCTGAGCATATTTAATTGTGGGAAAGTGAATAACATCAACATTTTAATTTTATTTTATTTATAGAATTAGTAGAGATTCTTACCTTCGGCACACCACCGGATCTCACGTCGCTGACTTGACAAAGCTCTATCACGTCACCATCCTGCAACAAGCAATAGATTATGTTAGGCATGCATCGGTTCATATGGGAGGACCGGGGTGATACCACGGCCTCACAGAACAACACCGAGTGAGGCCCAACTACTCTTCTCGCTCTGGTTCGACCGACCGACCTCTGATTGGGACCGACAAATTCTTCTAATTTCTGCGTCCGTGTGGTGACGGATTAAGAATACAGAGTGTCACCACCCCTATTCATCGAGTGGGTGTCGTAAGAGCCGACTAAGGGAAAAAACTAAGCAGGACAACAGCACTGCAGAAAGAAGGAAAACTTGACACAAACCCTTTACCAACCCGTCTGGCCAGCGTGGTATAGTAGGCCAAAACCTCCTTTCTCAGGAGAGGCTTATGTCCAGCAGTGGACTATTAAAGGCTGTTGATGATGATGATGATATAATTTTTGTTTGAAGATGTATAGATGGAAGAAGTCCATTGTGAATACTCAATTAAAACTTTTACTTTGTTTTTAAAAAGACAACTCTCTTGTTTGGAATATATCCTGTGTCGCGGGGACTTTACAAACATACATGAAACGGACACAAGGGACACACGGAAAAACAATTTGTGAATTACACAAAGTGTTGCCCCATGCGGGAATCGAACTCAGAACGCAGTAGGAAGCGGCGACGTGACCATGCAGTCAAATATTTAACTCAAATATGTTTATAACTTTAAGAAATTCCATTATTTTTGATGAACATTTAATTATTTTTTTGTACTACACTCCAAGCGTTTAAATCCAAGCCGTATTCAACAATTCTCACATCATTGACCTTTCTGCATGAAGGAAGTACAAAAGAAGTTCGCTCTAAGAGGAAATGAACTTGGCTAATGACATCCAGCTCCGTGCAGGATGAAATTAATCTATACTGGATATAGCCAGTGGCAACATAGGATTCTAAGTACTGTACTCGGTTGGTCCGGGTCCTCCCAGAGTTGCCTGAGGCCTGAGGCCGGCCGTCGGGGTGGTTTTTAGTGGAATCACCACATACTCCTACCTCCTAGCCCCGAGGAGCAGGAGATCCGAAGGGATTTTCCACCCCGTCAACAAAAAAAAAAAAAAAAAAGTACTGTACTCGGTGTGCAATATCTATATATCTTGTAAAGATATTATATACTAGCATGGGCGTAGCTAGCCATTGGCTCAGGGTTAGGCAGAAGTCTAAAATAATATGTAACTAGCAAACTATACCCGCGGTCGTACCCCGGTTTATTTTTTCATACACGACGTGTCGACTGTCGAGTGCGAACTTCCTTACGGATATTAAGTATTGAAGTTAGTACCTAAAATATATTTTTTTTAGGTTTGCTTAGGTATCTTCAGGTCCTGGCCCACCGTGGCTACGCCCATGAATACTACTTGTCAAAGAATAAAAAAACCGGTCCAGCTATTGGTAACTGTTAAGCTAGAGTTGGGGTTCCATTCCCACCGAGTACAATTAAATGTGTGATAAGCACGATTATCTCTAGGTCTGGGTGTTGTATTTATCTATAGTATTCAATTTGGAAATATATTAATATGTCTATCAGCAGTCTGATCCCATAGCTGTATAGTACAGACTGACTGTTTAGGTAACAGACAAACATGTGTAAAAAGTAACAAGTTATTATTATTATTTAACTTAAATATATATGAGACTTGAATATCAAGTAGAGGATTGAAATGCCTATCTTCATAGCGGTTCCCGGATCTCTCCTATAGGCGCACAGGGGCACACGATGTGGTTTAGTCGTTCCGATTACGACACACTACCCCCGCCGCAAACCCCGGTGGGGTGACGGCCCAAGGGGTTTTCACATGTTAAAAAAGGTGCTACACACTAGTATTTGTGCTATCATTGCTGCATCGGGTCACATGCATCACTGAAGTTAAAAGTTTTGCTGAAATTTAATTTCATCGGATTGAGCTCGGATTAGCAGATTTAAATTGACTGCACGGATGGCGTAGTGGTTTAAGCGGTCGCCACGCCGCTTCCTACTACGCCGAGTGTTGTGGGTTCAAACCCCACATGGGACGACACTTTGTGTGATCCACAAATTGTTGTTCTGAGTCTGGGTGTTCTTTGTGTCCGTTTCTTGTATGTTTGTAAAGTCCCCCGCGACACAGGATTTATTCCTAATGCGGGCGCTGTCTTTTTAAAAAAAAAAAAAAATAAGGCCTGTTGTCACCTGCAGCGAGTAGCGTCTCGGTGGAATTTTTTTTTATCATTTTCGCTGTGGATAATCTGTTGAGTAGTTTTTTTTAATCATTCTTTGCTTTGCTTTGATTTGCTTTTCATCATTCTCTGACCCTCTGATGAGCAAAGAGGGCATGACGTTCGTGTTAGGTCAGTCTCACGCGTAAAGAGATGTTGTATAGTCAAAGATGATCTATTTTTTTGCACAGAGACCATAGACAACATGTCGTCTCTGTGCAAAAAAAATAATACGTAAGTAATATAAATTTTCATTCATCATCCTCGTAATCAAATTGAAAGTAATAGTAATACTCATGATATATGAAGCAAAACCTCCGCTTCAGGCTCAAAGATGTGCTCGTTGAAATGAAAACATGATTTATGCAAGCCTACAAAATATTTAATACCCTCTCACTTAGTTCTTCAGTAGGGTTGTCGCTGACCTTTAAAGGAACTATTATTTTTATCCGTCTTTTTACTATTCGTAATTAACATTTAGAATATACAGGTACTTGTAGAACAAGACGAAAACTATACATTTTTAAAATAAGACGTGTGTGATAATAAAAAATACATAATTTGGTACGTGATTCTATGTCGCTAGGTTCTTTGTATACAATGAACGCAAAAACAAATATATTTCGGGGAGCTATTTGTAAATCTGTAAAACAAGAGTTTCTAACTAGAATGCTATCTTTACTATGAAAATTTTAATGGCGTTACACTTTCATCAAAGTGAGTTAATTTCATTGCCCGGAAACGGCTAGTAAACATTGCAACAGTATTAAATATCGTAGGTTGAGACTAACAAGTTAAAAAATCTTTTAAATAATTCTGTGATATTTTCGTGATAGGCCTTTTTTTTCTCTGCGGCAATTCCCTCGGATACCACCTAAAACTATGGCTATGTTGGACTCGAACCGACTAAAAACCGCACGCAGTCTCGTTTACCAGTAGCCGGGGAACCAGGTGTACCCTAGAAAGGAAACAGTGACAGCCCTGGGGAAGGCGGTCAATGTGACCTCAATATTTCACCTGTATTTATGGACACTTTTTAGGGTTATGGCAAGAAGACGTAGATATGTGTTATAATATTTTATTCCGTGTCGAATGTAGAATCAGGCAGAGCTTTAAGCTTCCTTACTATCTAAATTCAAATCCTTAATAAATTCAAGTACTGATGGCGTAGTGGGTTAAGCTGAGTGTTGAGGGTTCGTATCCCACTTAGGATGACACTTTTTGCGATCCACAAATTGTCGTTCTGAGTCTGGGTGTTCCTTGTTATTTTTATTTATTTATTTACTAGCCATTGTTCGCGGCTGCGCTTGCGTGTATGTCGGTTTTCGCGGTATATGTTACTAGCTGATAGTGTAGCTTTCCATTGGTAAAAGAATAGTTAAAATCGGTTTAGTGGTTTAGGCATGAAAGAGTAACAAACAAACCCTCTTTCACATATATGATATAAGTATGGATAGAGTAACCTTGAACGAAACATCACGGAAAAGATAAAATACTTCGATTTAGAATTCTACAAAATACTTTTAATTTGAAAAAGTGAGGGAGGTGGGGGAGCCCGCTACTCGATCATCGATCGATGCATGAAGCCTGCCTTGAGGTATTTAGATTTGCAGATCTTGGCGTAGATGACATCTTTATCGATAATTGTTTATATAGGTTAAAATACCTTTCTAAATTTTATTTTTGAATCATTTTTGGCAGGGAATATAATACAACAGGATCCACTCCCTCCTTAATTCAAAGGAAATGTAGGTACATCAGACTGTGGCCACGGGTTCTTCCTGACGACGCTAATATTACCAAACAAGCCGAGCCAATGACGACAGATTACCCAACTGGTTGCTCAACTGCTGGTCTTCCTATAGTCAGTTTTACAAAATGACCTTTAACTTGGTCCAAATGTGACAGGGTAAACCCCACCTTGTAGACACCAGGGTAGAGTACTAAATGAGCTGTCACGTCACGATAACCTAAATCGTTTGTAAGTATACAAAAAGTGTCAGAGAGGTATAGTAGGCCAAAACCTCCTTTCTAAGGAGACGCTTTTGTCCAGCAGTGGACTGTTAAAGGCTGTTTATGTGATATGTGTGTTATAATCCTTAAACTTTCTTTTAAAAAGATTAGTACTGAGTTTCAGTATTACCAATAAACAATTCTGACACTGGCAGACTGTGTTTAATAAAGCTTATTGTGGGTAAAACTGAAACCTGTTTAATTACTAGCTTGTATAATGACAGAGTAATCAGTTAACAAATAATTGATTATTACGTGGTTAGCCACAGAGAGCTTTAGAATTTTTTTTTGTTAAAGAAGACAACTCCCGCATTAGGAATATATCCTGTGTCGCGGGGGACTTTACAAACATACATGAAACGGACACAAAGAACACCCAGACTCAGAACAACATTTCTGAATCACACAAAGTGGTGTCCCAGGTGGGGATCGAACCCACAACACTCAGCGCAGTAGGAAGCGGCGTGACGACCGTTTAAACCACTACGCCATCCGTGCAGTCAAATTGAATTAACACAAGTTTGTGTAGTCTCTTCCTTTACAGATAAACATAAATAAACACGTGAAGTGTTTATTTATGTTTAGCCTAAAAAATTTAACCTGAAATGACACCGTATTGCGTACTTAGTTAGAAGTAGATGACGACTTTGAAAGGGTAGAACTTTTTAGTAGTAGCGATGGTAGTGACTTACCATAAGATGACACCGGCCTGCGCTTTATCTCTAATATCATAAAAAGTAAAATAAAGTTTTACTAATGAGAAAAAATTGTAGCAGTATCAATTTTCAAGAACTATAAAACAAAA